ACTTTGTATTGCCCCTGTGATGGAATCTTGATACTAAAAGATCTGCAAACGGACAAAGAAGGAAGAGACAACCTCTTCAAGGAAGAGGTGAGCTTCTCCTGGCCACCAAAAAAGAAGACAGTTAATACCTTACTTGATACACGGTGAAAGGGACGAAAAGTGACCACAGCAGTTCTGAGACCCAGGAGGCATCGGACACGGTCTGAAGGGAGGGCATGAAATGAGGTCTAAGCCTCGGCCAGGAATGGGAAATTTACCCTCCAAGCCCCAGAGATTCCCTGTCCAACACGCACTCACCACAGAGACTAGGGGTCTCTGGACTCTCAGGGTAAGAGGTTGTACCACATCCTGAATAGAAAATGGCCAGGAACTAGAAGAGGGAAGAGAGAGTAGGATGGGATTCTAGCCAGCCTTACTTAGAACAGAAAACTATCAAACTGTACAAGTAGATAAATGAAGAATAAAGAGATATAAGGGGAAAGAACTAAAAGTGAACAGAAAGGAAATCAACTAGGAGGGAGGGGGGTAGGGCTGAAAACTGTGAAAACTCAAGGGCCCACAAGCCTGACCACCTACCCAGCTGGAGACCCATACCTGTGCTCACCCACCTGAAGTGTAGCAGCCCCTCACGGCCATTGGTGGCCTCTTCCTCAGGGAAAAGCAGCAGAGGGGTCGGGGGAAGCCTCGTGGAAGCACAGAATCTCTTAAGTGACTCCACCAACTCCCCCCGCCCATCCATCTCCATGAAGCCCCGAGACCAGCATACAAAGCTTGGAGGACTATTGAGTAGAGGCTGGAAATGGGAAGAAGAGAAAGCAAGAAAGGAAAATTGGGAAGTGAGAAAAACTGACATATGGGGTAGAGAAGCGGGATTAGGGGTAAGGCTCAGTATTTCGTGGTCCCCAAGGGAAACCCGGGCGGGCAAAGGGGAACCTTGGGCTGGGCCCCAGGGAACCGCCCCACGGAACTCTCGGCTTCGCCCCTCCACTCACGGTGCTACAGCTGGTGAGCAGGTTGACTATGTTGTGGTCAAAAGGTGTCACATGGTTGGAAATGAGGACCCTGACGCGATGATCCCGGAGTCCGGAGTCCTCCTGCCGGGCCACGAGCCCCAGCACCGCACACATGGTCCGCACCACGAACCTGGCAGTAGCAGGCAGTGGTGACTTCACGGCCTCGGACCGGGCCCAGTCCTGACCCCCCCGGAATCCCTGGGTTGTTACCTGCGAAGGACGCTGTCTGGCAGAGCGCAGCTGACCAGGAAGACGTGGATCCCAAGGAAGAGCCGCAGTACGAGGAGGCAGAACCCGACGGGAGCGTAAAGAAGCAGCGCGAGGAGCAGGAAGCCGTCACCCGGGAGCCTGGGGGCGAGAGGCGGGGTGATCGGGCGCCGAAGGCCGGGTGGATGCGGGAGCCAACCTTCTCCCGCGAGGGCTCTTACCGGTGCGAATCAAAGAGCCGCTCCGGCCCCAACGCCGGGGAAGGCTCCATCGCTGCTGCTTTAGGGCTGTTTATCCGCCGCCGCCATCTTCGCGCCCTGCCGCAGGGAATCCTGGGAAGGCGGAGTCTTCGGGCATCCGCCCAGGGTGCCGGCACCCGAAATCTTGAGGCGCCCCGGAAGGGCTAGCGGTCCCATCATGCCTCGCGGGCCCTTGGGCCACCTCATTACTAGCGTCCCGCGGGGACCACAATTCCCGGCATTCACGGGGCGGAGGCGGGGTCGGCCTCCCGGAATCCTGGGTCCCGGCGTGCACTTCTGGAGGACTTCAGGTACCAGCGTGCCCCGCGTCCCGCTGTCCGCCAGCTCGCGTCGAGGGCGCCGCCTCTGTGTAGGGCGGGCGAGGAGGCAGCCGAGGCGGAGCTGATGGCTGCACTGAGGGCGGGGCGGGGTGCATGCTGGAACCTCTGGGGATGGCGGGCTTTTGGGGGGGTTCCCTGGGGGAAGGGGCCCCTGTTGACCCCTGACCTCCGGGCCTTGCTGACGTCAGGAACTCCTGACCCTCGGGCCCGAGTGACTTATGGGACCCTCAGTCTCTGGGCCCGGTTGTCTGGGGGGGTCCCTGAACCACGGACGTGTCTGACGTCGGGGACTTCGGGTTCCCGAGCACGGCTGACTTCAGGATCCCCGGATCTCAGGGCCCGGGAGGTCTCAGAGACCCCTGGAACCCGTTCGCGCATATGGCTGGCGGTGGCGCTGGGCGCTGGGGGGGCAGTGCTGTTGTTATTGTGGGGCGGGGGTCGGGGTCCTCCAGCGGTCCTCGCCTCGGTCCTTGGCTCACAGCCCACCTCTCCCCGGAGCCAGTACAACTTCATCGCAGACGTGGTGGAGAAGACAGCACCTGCCGTGGTTTATATCGAGATCTTGGGCCGGTAACGGCGGGGAAGGGCAGGAAGCACCTAAGCTGCGGGCTCAGGGGCGGGCGAGCTAGGTGTCTGAGCCTCCTCACATCCTTGCTTTCTCTCCATCCCAGGCACCCTTTCTCCGGCCGCGAAGTCCCTATCTCGAATGGCTCAGGATTCGTGGTGGCTGCTGACGGGCTCATCGTAACCAACGCTCATGTGGTGGCTGATCGGCGCCGAGTCCGTGTGCGGCTGCTTAGCGGCGACACATATGAGGCCATGGTCACAGCTGTGGATCCCGTGGCAGATATTGCCACGCTGAGGATTCAGACTAAGGTTGGGATCTGGGCAGGCCGGGTCTGGTTGGGGCTGTGAATTTGGTCACATATCTAGGTGACGGATCTCTTATACCCTTTCTCCCGTAGGATCCTCTTCCCACACTACCCCTGGGACGCTCAGCCGATGTCCGGCAAGGGGAGTTTGTTGTTGCCATGGGAAGTCCCTTTGCACTGCAGAACACGATCACTTCTGGCATTGTCAGCTCTGCTCAGCGTCCAGCCAGAGACCTGGGCCTCCCCCAAACCAATGTGGAATACATCCAGACTGATGCAGCTATTGATGTGCGTCCTGCTGTGAGAGAAATGACAAACTAGGTTGGGGATTTGGGGAAAGGCTGTGTGGGACAGGGACCAACTGTGATAGATGGTGCATGAGTTTATATACAGAGGTTTGGCTGCACATATGTGGCCACTCTCGCTGGGCTGGGAAAAGAGAGACTTTGGAGAAAGTACCTACATCCTGGTTATGCCTCCAGGCATAGAGTCCCTGGATCTCTTCCATATTTTCTCCTTGTCCTGCAGTTTGGAAACTCTGGAGGTCCTCTGGTTAACCTGGTGAGTGGGACATCCTTCTTTCCAAGAATCCCTGCCCCAGGTCAGTGTGAGAAGGGGTGTGTGTTCTTGTCAAGTTTCTGAGCAGTCTCCTGTTGATTATCTCCCCAAATCCAACCAGATCTCCCCAGCTCCCCAATACTTTCTGCTGCTCTTGTTCAGGTATCTCCATCTCCTACTATTTATTTGGGCTAGGGAATAGTGGGCTCTATCCCTGCAGGATGGGGAGGTGATCGGAGTGAATACCATGAAGGTCACAGCCGGAATCTCCTTTGCTATTCCTTCTGATCGCCTTCGAGAGTTTCTGCATCGTGGGGAAAAGAAGAGTGAGCCTGGCTTAGGGGGAAGGGATTCCTTTAAGTGGTGGGAAGGGCATTCATTGGGCCTTACTGGAGCAGGGGAGGGGTGAGGGGTGGGGAGGGGGTCTATTGGGAGGAAAGGGAGGAAAAGGAAGCATGTAGCTGAATGAGGCTCATTTGTTCCTCCATCACAGATTCCTGGTTTGGAATCAGTGGGTCCCAGCGCCGCTACATTGGTGTGATGATGCTGACCCTGACTCCCAGGTATGAGCTTTAAGAGTAGTGACCTATAGGACTACCAGTGTACTCAGTGGTGGGCAACTGGCATCTCTGTTGAGATTTGTTATCAAATTTTATCTTTATCTAAGATTAGTCGGCTTACACTTGGGAACTATCAGAAGAGCTGTCCTCTCTTATCATCCTGACTTTCTCATGCCAATCCATTTTGCACACCTGCTACCAGATTGATTGCATCCTGCTACTGCTTTGATTTAAAAACCTCAGGCCATTAACTTGTTGTTCAGGAGCCATTTTCCATTTGTCACCAATTCAGCCTTCCAGATCTGGCTTCTTCCATGAATATACTCTGTTCCAGCCAACCTGATTTCCTACTCTCATGTTTTTATTTATGTTATTCTTGTTTTATATAGTTAAATACAAGAACCATGCTTCTAGGCCCAGGTTAAGTTCTATTTTCTCCTTAAAGCTTCCCTTAGAATTCTAGAATGATATTAGTGTTATTGATTTAGTAGTATGTGTCATTTGGAATTACTTTTTATATACATGTCCTACTTCCTAACTTTGAGAGGCAGAAGTTGAATTGCCTTTGTATCTGGAGTATCTAGTGCATGCCCTTGTTCATACAGTTGTCAGTGTGTTGATGAGAGATTTGAGGTGAACCCAAGGGAGAGTGCCTTGGTGTGGTTAACAGGGTGATGATCTATGTCCTTTCAGCATCCTTGCTGAACTACAGCTTCGAGAACCAAGCTTCCCTGATGTTCAGCATGGTGTGCTCATCCATAAAGTCATCCTGGACTCCCCTGCACACCGGTGAGGGAGAGACTGCGTTGTGAGGTGGGGATGGGTGAAGCGTGCATGTGCCCTTGAACTGGGCTGTCTAGTCCCTCCTTTTTCTCTCTGTCCGTCTTTCACCGTAGGGCTGGTCTACGGCCGGGTGATGTGATCTTGGCCATTGGGGAGCAGCTGGTACAAAATGCTGAAGATATTTATGAAGCTGTTCGAACCCAATCCCAGCTAGCAGTGCGCATCCGGCGGGGACCAGAAACATTGACCTTATATGTGACCCCTGAAGTCACAGAATGAGTGGGTCAGCAGGACTCTGAGGCTCCTGCTCTGATTTCCACCTTGCTTTCCTGGCCTAGGCTCTGAGGGTACCTGGACAGAGGAATAAATGAACCAGTGGGGGGCAGGTCCCTCCAACCACCAGCACCAATCCCTGGGCTCTGAGGAATCACACAAATGCTTTTTATATAAAATAAAATTATACCTAGCATCATGTTTTAGTCAAAAATAAGGGCGGGGGTTACTGATCTTTTCCCCCATGAAGAGGCTAGAGGTAAAGCTGTATCCCCCCTGAACCTAGGGGAGATACTGGAGCTGACCATTCTGACCTCCCTATTCAAGAAAATGAGCTCCTGCTGTCTGTTGTTCTGGGCAGTCAGTGAGGCGCTGTTCTTTGTAGCGTGCTTGACTCAGTGCTGGGTCTGGGAGCAAAAATACCCCGTGCTTAGCCACAGATCCGGCAGCTGGCCTAGGAAGGAGGGCGAGAACTTCGTCTTGACGGTTCCACATCCATAGCGCACACTGGAAGAGCATGGCTGGCCTGCTGACATCAGGGGTTCCTCGGTAAGCTCCTGAGGTAATGGTAGCCTCAGACCCCTGCCACTAGGGGCCAGTGGTGGTTTGCAGAGGAGGGTGGCAGCACCTCAGATGATCTGGTTGCTGGTCTGGCCAGGGTAGCGCTCGAACTTCCTGTTGGCCTCTTCACTGAAGGCATCACCTGCAAGGTGAATGGGCAGTTTAGGCAGGGAAATGGACCCATGGTGGGGAAGGGTGAGTGGAAGTGGAGAGGCTGGGAGATCCAGAAGAGGGTGGGAAGACACAGAACCAACTTAGAGAGAAGAGAATTAAGGCCTTTCCTTCCCATCCCCCAGTCCTTCTGGGCTGCTCTTCCCATCAAATACCAATGTGGCAGTTGTGCACCCAGATGCGATGTCCATCGTATTTGCAGTTACATTTCATTGCATTGTTGGTGAAGTCACTTTCTGCTACTTCAAAATTGGGGTTGATGACCACCTGTGAGTGGGAGAAAGTTAATTTGACCAGTTGCAGTCTTCAGATCGTTAATAAACACTCCTCCCACCTGCCAGCTGGATCTCAGGCCCCAGGCACCTGCAGAATGTAGTTTCCTGGCTTCACATCTGTGATGTCAATCCATTGGCAATCGATGTCATGCCTGTAGAGATCCCAGCAACCCACGGTAATGCCCTGCTCTCCAAAGTTAGCACACTCATACCTCTTGGAGACATCTGAGAGGGATTGGCATATGTCAGTGTGAGGCAAGGCTGTGGGACGGAGATACTGGAGTCTGTTTTAGGTCCAACTTACCCTCCTGACATTCGGTATCTTCCAGACAGAAACTAGCTTTGTGGCCCTCAGCCACCTTGGTGCCATTGGGGGTCAGGATATCATAGTGAGTGAAGATGTCCATACTGTGGTAATGCCTGTGGGGACAAGGGAACCCTGTTTCCATCCCTGCCCCCAGCAGCCTTGCCCCATCTCCAGTAACCTTGCCCTTCTACTTGACTCTCTCACCCATGACACTCGTGCCACACCCAGGAGTGGCGCCCAGCCTTGGGCCTAAAGTCAGCTCGTCCCAGGTTGTGGATCTGGGAGGAGAATCGGAGCAGACGCCTGTGGCCATAAGGCCAGTTGGCCGAGCGGGCCGAGCGGGCCAGGCAGTTCTCTTCTGCAGCACAGTACAGCATGTGCAGGGGCCGGTCCTCGATGTAGGCGGTCTCCTGCACCAGTGCTGAGTGCAGCAGCAGGTCTGATGCAGCTGCATAAGGAAGGGAGCAGAGTGTTGAAGTCACTGCTGAGGAGTGGGGACAGATGCAGGTGCTTCTACTCCCCCTGTGGAGTGTGAGAGGTTGCTTCTTCACGGGGAAGGAGCACCCCTCCAGATTACAGCTCTTTTTCCCTCAGGGGGGGTAGTCCAGAGCTTCCCTTCCCTGGCTTGTATCGCCTTATCCCTCACTCACTCTCAGAACAGATGACTCCAGCAGTGAAACGAGTTCCTGGCCTCTTGCAGGCGATGTGGGTGCTATGATGAGCACATTGGTCCAAGGACAGCTCAGACCCTGTGCAGCGGACTCCACTCATCACCACCTCTGTTATATTCCCTGAGTCCCAGTACCAGGTCTCCTGGGGACACATGTTGGTGTTTCTGTGAGGCACCACTATCCAGCCTCTTGGGCCAACGGACTCATTTTTACAGTCCTCTGCCCCGAACACAGGCTTTGGAGGCAATTGTGTTGGTTTCCCTCTGCTTCCCACTCACCTGCAGGCCATGGTTGGCATAGCCCAGTCCAAGTTGCCTACAGGCCACCATGGCCTCCAGTGTCCCCCAGTCATCCCCACAGATGAGCCCCCAGCGAAGGGACCCAGGTCCCCCTATTTGCACCTCCACTCGCCCCTCATGTTGGCTGCGGCCCCCACTGAGTCGGATCTGTAGTGACACAATGGAAGTTCCGGGTAAGCTTTTCTGGAGGGGTAGTGGGAGTCTGTAACAGGTATGTGGCTGAAGGGTGATTCAGAGGCATGTAAGGGCTAGCAAGTGGGGGCATCAGGTGGGAGCTGCAGGATGGCAGGGGCCTGGGACAGTGGGCTGGGAAGCTGTCAGGCTGAAGATCGTGACGGACTGGATAGAATGCAAGATTCCTGGACTAAACCGGGAATATAACTGACCTTGGTCTCTACCCCAGTGTAGGGCAGGTTGCATCGGACTCCAGCATCTTGGCTATGGGAACAGTCTTCAGCTGTGATGTTCTTGTGGGGGCACTTCCAGAGGGAGGGTTCCTGTCCAGAGCACCGAACCTCACTTAAGTGGATAGCACCCATGCCTAGGGTCAAAGATCAGGAGGTTATAACTGGACCTTCACTGTCTGCCCAGGGGTATCCTTCCCAAGGACCATACCCCCCAGGAGAGTATGTACCTCCTCCTTCCCTCTTCCTCCCATCTTCATCCCCCTCACCCTGGCCCATGCGGGCACCACTCAGAGCCTCTCGAGCAGTCCCGAAGCCCAGCTCCCGACACACCACGCTGGCTGCCTGCAGGTCCCACTTGCGATCACAGACTGTGCCCCACGTGCTGGCCTTCAGGACTTCCACCCGGCCCTCTCCAGGGTGGGCCCCACCCTTTAGACGCACTCGGGTCTATAGGGGAGAGAGATGTGCCCAAAAGCAGTGAATGGAAACATCAGCACAGAGCGGGCTGGGAGATAAAGGAGATTCTGTTGGGAGGGAGGGAGTGGTCTCAGGTCTGTGGCCCACCCCCTGAGAGGTTCCTCTCTGTCCTCAAAGGTCAGGGCTGTGCTAAGTCAGGGCTGGCTAGGCTAGGGGGTTCTCCACCTGGGGTGGGGAAGGTTATAGTCACTGTCTCACACACCTCCCCCTGAGGCTTCGACTGTTGTTGCTTCCTCTGGCCACTGGATGCTGCGTAGAGAGGGCCTGGCACACAGCTCACCACCGCAGGGGCCCCCCCAGGGCACCTGGTGGTGTCATTGGCACGATAGAACTCCAAGGAGCAGAGGGAGAGGTGGGCCTCCGTGCCCACGCACGCCACCCCATGCAGACCAAAGGAGTGTTGCTGCCGCTGGGCCAGCAGCCTGGGGGGACAGGAGTGGGGTGCAGTAGGGTAAAACAATGCTCCTGCCTCTTTGCCGACAACCCTCCTCCCCTCCATGCCTCCCATCCCCAACCTCTCAGGACCATTTTATCCCTCCTTTTCCCTTCTTTTCTGCTATGTTTCCCTCCGTAGACAAAGGAAATGGCAAGTGTCCGGGCTGAAAGAGCCCAGATTACCCAGACAGGAGGGTCCTTGGGGACCTGCAGCTGAAGACCAGTATGGGCAGGATGGCTAGTCTTGACTTGCCTGACAGAAACCTTGCTCCAAATGGTTTCAGGCTGTTGGCCCTAACGGAGGCTGAGGCTGAGGCCGCTGTGCAAAGAGAGTGGAAAGCCAGGACTGCCCAGTTAGAAGAGATGGGCAGGAGGGAGTAGCTGACACAAACAGGAAGTCTGAAGAGTCAGCGTGAACACATCCTTCTGTTACGCTGAGGCTGAAATAACTGAATGAGTCAGGATGCAAAGAACTGAGTAAATCTTGGGTCTAGATGTCTTCTCAGAGGCTAGAGGGTCTTCCAGGCCAGAGTATGATGGGTAGTTATGAGAAGATTATACAAGAAGGTGGACATAGGGAAGGACTGGGGTTGGCACATGTGGGAATGAAGATGTACAAATGCAAGACAGACAAATGTTAGAGAGTCCACATGACCAGAGGAGAGAATATGCACAACAGAATGGTAGAGATCTCTCCAGACCTGAGCTGAACTTTAATGAGGTAGTCCATGCTGCTGCAATTGAAACATAACAGAAAGAATGTTCTGTAGCACCCAAGCATGAAAATGGGACTAAACTAGAGATGTTAAACCTTGGAAACCCTTCAGAGAGAAGCCTTGAGAAAAGGAAGGGGACTGGTGTATTGACACCAACAAAGTAAGAGATGGCAGTGAGGCATGTGATGAGAGCAGTGCCCAGAGAGGAGGGCTGCTATGGGTGGAGTGAGCCTATGAGGCTGGCTTGACAATGAACTATTGCAGTAATATGCCCATCACTTGATGTCAGAGGAAGGAAGGTTATGATGACTTACAGTCATTGGCTAAGAAGATGCAGACAGGAAGAAAATTTTATAAACAACAGACAGAGGAAGCTGGAGACTATAGAATACCTTTGGAGGTTCAGGACCAGTGGATTTTGAAGCGCAAACAGATCAGGTACTCTCCCAAAGTCCTGTTTTGCTGAAAATAAAACTCAAAGAGGCCATCACAGGAAAAAGCTTTTGCTCTTCTAAACTCCCTCCTCCCCTTTCCCCACAAAGGACACAGTAAAAACAGCAATGTGCCCTTGAATTTGGTGTGCAGGGAAGGCCAGAGCATGGCCATGTTGGGCACAGATGACCTTTAGCTAAAAGGTACTACAAGAGCATCTCCAAATTCCAGGCTCCTTTGAAGCCACCAGAAGGAGAAGCTGGAGAAGGAGGGCCAGCAGAGACCACTGGGTGATCCCAAAATGTGCAGAAAAGAGGAGGGGACAGAAGAAATGGATGAATTCTCTGTGTCTCAGCCACTGCTGAAGTTATCAGGGAGACTTCTCATGTGCAAATGGCCTTTGGAAACCTAGTGAGAGGTAATCACTGGGGTTGAAAGCTTCTCCACTCCCTTGGGTTCTGAAGGAGCCCACAAGAAAAATTGTGTCAACTGGGCCAGAGACACAGGGGCTATAATCTGAACCCCATCCCTGGCAAAGTTTCCAGAGGGGATCATGAGTCTTATCTCCAAGCAGGTAGCACCTATTTTTAAAATAATTAAGATGGGAACACTGATCTCTTAGGCAAACTTAACTTCTTGGGGGAGAGGCAAGTAAGGCATCTGAAGGAGAAAGTGCCAGAGTATCTGCTAGAATTCACTGGAGGAATATAAATAATCATGTGAAACAGGGGTTATCAGTGGATGAACTTCTATCAAGACTTTAAAAAATCCTGTGATAAGCATAACTCCCCAGAAACGAGCATAAGGGCAGCATCAGTTTATGTTTCAGTGACTCATCTAGAAGGTAGTTTCTAATAGGTACTGCTGCCCCTCCACCTCTTGGTGGGGGCCTCTTAGACCCCTTCCTGACCACAGCCCAATTGCCCTGACTCATCATCACTCTGCACTCTCCCTCTCTGCACACCCAGCCTGAACTTCATTTACCTCTTGATTGATCCCCTGCCCACTCGGGGTTTGGGTTTGACTTTAAGCTTGGTGATTGGTCTGAAAAAAGGAGAAAGAAGTTAGTGGAGGTAGTGGTTAGGTACATGGCCCAGGAAAGGTAGAGGGTTTTGTTGTTGGCTTTTTTCCCCGTTTCCGGGAAGGACACTTTATGCAGAGTGGGGAGTAAAGTGAAGGGGGGCAGATTTTCCACATACACTGACTGCTGCACACCACCGAACTCTATTTTAGGAACTCCTGTTGCACTGTGAATTCAACACCATGAGGAGAAATCCAGTCAGTCCAGGGGGTGATGGGAGAAGGGGATATTAGGTAAAAGGAGGAGAGAGAATGAGAATGTAGGTGAATTGAATTAAGGGGGGTAGGAAGCATGCAGGTGGTTGAGGCTAGAGTCTAAGCTGTTTGGGGGAAGTATAAAGATGAGAAGGCTTCTCCTCAGCCATTCCTACATTATTTCCTCTTTGTGCACCCTAAGGTCAAAGCTTGCCCATCCCCATGCCTACCTCCCCTCCCCTTCCCTACCCCCCTGGAATGGCCACTGTGCAGTTATATCCCTAATTCATCAGCTTGGGTTCTGGGATGGACATGGATAGGCTGCCTTCCATCCATCCACCTCCTGTGGCCACAGGGGCGAGCAGGAGGTCCCGGGGCTCTTGCCCCATTACCTTCCAAGGGGCTTGGGGCGTCGGGCCGAGGCTTTGGCCGCTCGCTTCCTCAACTTTCTGTGAGGGTAAGACAATAGCAGAGTCAAGATCAGTCTAGAACCAAGTGGGAAAGGCTGGTGCAGCCAGAGGCAAATTTCTTTTCCAAATAGGAAAATTGGAAAGTCAACAGGGTGTTACAACATCAGATACTCCCAAGAGTTTACCCTTCACAGCTGTCTGGCCTCACGCGCACAAAACCACTCTGATGAGCAGTAGTGAAACCCATGGACTCAGGCTGATAAGAGCCCCTGTACCAGCACCCGCAGAGATTACACTAGGGTAGATGGAAAATGAGGACTAGGGGCAATATCAGGGTTGATCTAAACGTCAGGGGAGGCCTATGGGGAAGCATATAAGTAGAAGGGTGTTAGGATTATAAGATTGCCAGACTGACCGGGCAAGGAGAGAGAAATGGCCTGGTCATTTGAAGGCTGACTGGCTTTTATCCTTGGATGCTCTTTGACTTCTGGTATTTCCAGGTCTGAGGCCAGTGCACTAAGACCAAGCACCAAGGCTGGATGTCCAAAAACATTAACTTGATTTGACTGGGGAGCATGAAGCCAGGCGGCTTAGGATGACAGCATCCTTCCTGCCCACATTAAATCCCATATGCTTTAGTCATTCACAAACCAAGCTCAGCTTCCAAACTTACGTGCAGAGAAATAAGTTCTAAAACTTTATTTCTTTTTAATTGGCCTAAATATTTGACCTATTTTATTCTTCAAGAGGTTGCCTTAAGTCTAAGGTCTGGAAACTAGATCTGTTTCTCCTTTCCTTCTCCCTTGGATTTCAAAGACTTTTTTTTGGCCCCCTCTTTGTTTTGTCCAACTATATACAGATGAATGCGGGTTTTGCCTATCTGTTCTTCTAAGTTTCTGAGACTCCCTGTTATCATCTTAGTTATTCCTTCTTTAAACACATTCCTACTCTTGTTTCTCTTGAGGAGTCATATCTGGACATAGTATACTATGTGCAGATGCACTGGATGTTAATAAACAAATTTGAAACAGTGCTAAAGTTGCTTGGTATTTCCTGCCCTGGCTTCCTCCTCACGATACATTTAGTTGGTCTTTTTGCCAAAATATCCACTATGTCCAACATTCTTAAGAAAGAGTGCACAATAAGTCTCTGGTCCCTTTCTTGAGACATTACTAAGAGTTTAGAACCTTTCATCATCTAAGTATAGGGTGAAACTTTTTCTCCAAATGTCTTTTTCTCAAACATGTCTAAAATGAAATGTATATTATGTTTTCTTTCAAGATTATCTTGATCCTCCAAGTAGGAGTCAGAAAAATGTAGTATTATCTAGGGGTGCCTGGATGGCTCAGTTAGTAAAGTGTCCAACTCCTGATTTTGGCTCAAGTTATGATCCCATGGTTCATGGGATCGAGTCCCACCCTGTCAGCATGGAGCCTGCCTGGGGTTCTTCCCCCCGCCCCCCACTGCACATGCATGCTCTTGTGCGCGCGCTCTCTTAGAATATATAAACATAAAAAATGTATTATCTAGAATTTAAAAGTATTTCTTCTCTAAGTTATTTATAAAGTTTTATATTATACATCATATGGCATATACAATTATATATATTATAAGGTACAATACAGATTATATTAAGGACCTGGTACTTATTTAGGACCAGTACTGATACTTATTTTGATTTACACTTGCACATTTACAAATGTGCTTATTTCCCCCTTATAATTTGTTCCTTCAACACATCAAACATAAAAACCTACCCGTGTCTACATTCTCTTTTCTCATCCAATCATCTTTCTCCTCTAAGGCCACTCCCTTAGAGGGTTTGAATTCCATCCTTTAGGATCTTTTTTCTCCTAAATTGAGAAGCCGAATACAATCTCTCCTCAATTGAATCATTTTAAACATGTTCAGATCTCTCTCTCTCCCCCTCACACGCACACGCACATACACATATACACACCTCCACCCCATATTTCTGCTCCTCTTCATAGCAAAATTGTCAAGAGTTGTTGACACTCCACTTCTATAACTTATCTCTTACCACTCATTCCTTAACCCACTCCTACCTGGTTTTCCCCATCACTCTGCAAGAACAGATTCCAGTAGACAGCTTCAGTCTTCATCATGTTTACCTCTTGGCAGCATCTGACACTG